ATCAGTATTTATGGATACGTTAACAGGTCTCAGCCAATATCGTGATGGGCATTGGAAACCCTCAGGCTTCATTGTTTCACCATAGACTACCCTGGGTTGTTCTGTTCACAGCTTCCTGGATGTTCTGCTACCGCATGTACTCAAGTATAAGCCGACATGAATAGCAGGTGAGGCACCTAATTTTACCACAAAAACTGTATAAAGAAATGTGCTGAAAACTCAGGTTACACATGAGCATTTATCGTAATACCCTTCAGTCTCCCATATTCCATTGTCATACAGTAGGTTCCAACTCCAAGTGACTTCCAAGACCAGACTATTTGCATGTACACCTTGCATTCAATGTCTTTAGTCCTAAGATCACATGGGGGATTTAACCCTGTGTCCTTGTAAGACTCAAGTGCTGTTGGCGATGTCACTAGAGATATGTCCTGCTTGATACGCATGTGTTTCACTCTGTCTCATTAGTTATGATATTAATTTTTGCACCCAGTCTTTTTCCTTCATCCCATCGGCCTAGGACTGCTTGAAAGGAGTGAAGCCTCTACATTTGGTATTTGGTAAAATGGAAGGCAGAGCGATTTTAGCATAGAGCAAATAGATTTTGATAGCGGTTATGACATGTCCCTTAGGGGCTTCAGAAAACCCCTAAATAGTTTTATGTGTCAAACTTCCCCCTTTATTTAGTCATCTTGCATACTTTTCATTAACCATCTTCCCTTCATCCATCCATCCATCCATCCATCCATCCATCCATCCATCCATCATCCAACAATGGTTTTATTGGCTAACTACCTTCAAGGTGAACTAATTTAGGGATGGAAATAGCATGATATATCCCTACATGAGCTCCTGTCATCATTGAATTTATACCTTGGAAGGGTGACAATTTAAAGCAGTGGAGTTTATAATAAACATGACTAATAGAGAAAATTGAAGATGATATAGGAACTTAGAGGGCTTATGGAGCAAGGTGTAACAACTCACCTGAGTCACCAAAAGGCGAGTAGAAATTACATAGACAAAGAGAGATTAGGTGGAATTCTTTGCTGAAGATAAAAGATGTAAGCGGATAACCCATTAATGCTTGCATTTTGACTTTTAGCATCAGATTAACATGTATCCTTAGAAAGATATTAAGCAGGAGAATGAAATGAAAAAAATATATAAATTGGAATCAATTTGTATACATAGCAGTAAAATGGGAAAACCAGTGTGGAAACTCCTGTCATGATCTAGAAGATAAGTAGGATTTGGAATGCAAAAACAAAATTCCAAAATTACTACCGTCAAGTTTATTCCCACTTATACCAACCCTATAGGATAGTGTTAAACTTCCCTGTGGATTTCTGAGACTATTAATATTTACTGGAGTAGAAAAATTCATCTTTCTCCTGAGGAAAGCACTAGTTTGGAACTGCTGACCTTGAGGTTAGCAGCCCCGTGCATAAACATGAAAGAACACAAAACTTGCCAGTTGAGTAAATATGAAAAGTGAGTGGAGAGGGAAGATATGTACGCATGCGGGAGAATGAAGTATACAAGATGTCTGTCATGTTTCCAGGTTAAAGAACTGGGTGGAGAAAAGTGATGGAGTTTAATTGTGTTGCTGGTGAAGAATATTGAAATTACCATGGACTGCTAAAAGGACAAACTAACTGCATTGAAAGATGTAAGGCCAGAGAGCTCATTAGAGGTAAGAACGGCAAGACTATCCCTGTGCTGACCTGGACACAAACAACTAATGCCTCCCTTGATCTTCTCTAAGACCTTTGGAGTACAGTGATTAAGAGTTCAGCTGTTAAGCAAAATGTCAACAGCATTAGCTTGTGGTTCAAGCCACCAGTCTGTTCTATGGAAGAAAGATGTGGCCCTTGATTCCCATAAAGAGTAAAGTCTTGAAAACACTATGAGACAGTTCAATTCTGTCCAAAAATTTGTTGTGGGTTGGGATAAACTTGTTGGTAATGGGTTTGGTTTCCCTTTTTGCCCTTTCCCCACTTCGGAAAACAGAAATTTTAGCACCTCGTATCTGTATAGGGACACTAGTGCCATTATGACTATCTTTTAAGAAGATCACAATCTAGAGCAGTGGTTCTCAACCTTCCTAATGTCGCAGTCCTCTAATACAGTTCCTCGTGTGGTGACCCGCCCAACCATATAATTACTTTTGTTTCTATTTTATAACAGTAACTTTGCTACTGTTATGAATCAAGCGACCCCCGTGAAAGGATCATTTGACCCCCAAAGGGGTCACAACCCACAGGTTGAGAACCACTTGTCTAGAGTGAACAACACATTAACTTATAATTATTATAGCACAATTGTTCTGGGAGGTATATAAACTACAGTGGTATAGGAATATGGGCTAAGGAATCACTAATCTATTTACAAATATTGGAGTGAACAATATGTACTGGTTCTGTGGATGTTGATTCAGGAGCTGTAAAAATAGTCCAGTGGTCTGCCTTAAATGGAGCCTACACTCAACTAGAGTAAACTAGAAAATTAACCAATACCAAAGAATTATGAAGACTTTCATTTGTTGATAAGTATTTTGTGCTGAAAAGTAAAATAGAAAATATTAAATGATGGTGAGCATTGTTATTTTCTATAGGATGGTCAGAGAAAGTTTTATTGATGCGATATTTAAACGGCTAAGTAAGGGAAAGATGTGATATCAAGAGAGAAAAAATATTCCAGGTGGAACAGTGTGTTAGTCTGGGTAGGCTAGAGAAACAAATCCACAGAAACTCATATGTATATAAGAGAGAGTTTTATAGAAAGGGTAAGTGTACATTAAGAATGGATCCCAACTCAGTGCCGTCCAAGCCCGTAAATCCAACATTAGCCCTTATGTCTGACACCAATCTACAAAGTCCTCCTCAATCTCACAAAACACACGCAGTGATGCTGACTGCAGGAGGAAAGCCGAATCAGTGAAAGTGTAAGCATCTCAGCACTGGCAGGGGTCTCCACATGGCTGCTTCAGCACTCAGGGCTGCATCAGGGTAGGTCCACGTGGCTTCTCCTCAGGGATGTCTTGCAGGAACTGAGCCTTGCCAGCTGAAGCAGGGAACTGACTAAGGCAGCTGCACCCTGATCAGACCATCAGAATGCAAGAGACTTGAGAACTAGAAAGGCAAGTCTCACCGAGTCATTTGATCTCTCTGCCCTTCAATTAATCCCACATTTGTTTATTGGCCAGGTTACCCCAATAAACCTTAACTATATCAAACAGCTAGTACACAGGACTTCAGGCAGGAGTATGTTTGATATATTTGAGGGATAGTAGGAGGGACAGTACATGTAGAGCAACGAGTCTGAGTAATTGAAGGGATGAACTTTCCATTGATTGAGATGGAAGAGCCTGTGAGAATAGTAGTTGTAATGGAGACCAGGGTCGCAAACACAGGGTTCAATTGTGAACATGTTACATTTGAGATTCCTGTTAAAGATCTAAGAGAAATGACAAAGGTACCATCAGGTATATAATTCTGAAGCTCAAGTAATAGGGATAGGTTGGAGATACAAATGTGGGCATTATCACCATATAAAAACACTCACTATTTAAGATTGTAAAACCTTCTGGGAGTGACTACCCATGGAAATCTAAGAGGCAAGAAATAACCATTAAAGGAAAGCAGAGATAGTTTGGATAAGATCAATGGGAATCAAGAAGTATAACCTATAGTTAATGAAGGAAGAGAAGAGTTTCAAAAAGGACTGAATCAACAGTGTCTCTGCTTCTGGTATTTCAAACAGTTATTCAGGAAAGAGGAGGGAGAATTATTGAAGAGCTGTGGAGAATAGACTGGAGAGGTTCAAGGCTGAAGACTGGGAGGACCTCAGTTACGAAGCTCATGCACTAGTGGCCCAGGGAAGAGAGAAACACCATCTGAGCTAAGCAAGAAGCCTGCAGATGGAGGGAAAAGGCCTCAGCAAATGGCAGAACGGGCCAGCCTGGTGATGGACAGAAAGGATGCTTCCCAAGATTCAGATCAGAGTAGCCAGGCAAATTATGATGCTCTTAACTAATGTGGGTAATAATGCAGAAGGAGCAGGTTTAGGGAGGGAAAAGATGGCAAGATTTTATGACAAATTATCAGTAGTTCCCAATTTATGACCTATTGTGCTTTCGATGAACTGTACCCACAATCATCCTTTTAATTATTTTTGTCTTGCCTTTAGTAATATATACTGTAATTGATGTTACAGATACTTGTACAATTACTGCAGTTGAAACTCCTACTTTTGCTACTAAAACAATGATTGATTTTATGAACAGTAATAAATCTTCTTTGAACTCCTAACACAAGCCACAAACAAGAGAGGGATTGACTATTCTTCTAACGATCAACTTGTAAAAAGGAACTCCTTTCACTTCCAGTCTTTATAATCCATCCCCTTTCTTTCTTGCTTTGACACTCACTTATCTCTCATTTAAACTCAAAAGAAACTATGATTTCAGTGTACCCAAGAAAATAAGCATTTTTCCATTAAGACAGTTGTTTTGTTTTAGGATGGAAAAAATACAGTTTGAAAATCCCTTTCGTAGGTAGCTATTGGGCTGGATTCCCATTTGCATGTCACACCCTTATCACCATATGCAGTACCTTTAAAGTCTCTGCTTTGTCAGATACGCATTCAAGTTTCCTTAGCTTTTCCTCAGAAGACTGCAATGCAGTTGGAGTCGATTAATGTTATCAGCTAAAAAAAGTAAGAATTTAAAAAATTAAATAGGGTTATCCAGTAGTTGAGAGAGTTGAATCACAGCACCAGGTCTTTCCCCCCAGATTTGGTTCTAGTTTGAGCTACTCTGCAGGAGGTCTTCACTTGGAGACCCGGCGTTCTGTGGAATGAAGAGGAGGCTACTACACCCATAAAGTGTTACATCCTCAGACACCCAGATGGGTACCGGTACCCTGTCCCTTAGGGCCATTAAGAGTTGGAATAAACTGGGTGGCAGCAAGTGTTTACAGATATTTTATTTTTCTTTTTTAAATATGGAACGCTTCATGAATTTGTGTGTCATCCTTGCACAGGGGCCATGCCAATCTTCTCTGTATCATTCCAATTTTACATATGTACGGCTGAAGCAAGCACATAGATTTCCATTTTATAAAAGTAGTAATTGGGAATGGGAGAAAAAAAACACACCAACTAAGCTAAGAAAATAAAACCACATGTCTCTACTACCAAGAGGTGATCTTCAAATTTTCTTGAAGTATATCTTTGCATACACCAATATTCTGTCATGTTGTTGCACTGTTGGGGCTTGCATGTTGCAGTGATACTGGAAGCTATGCCACCCACTGATATTTCAAATATATGCAGAGTCAGAATTGGTGGAAATGTTTTAGTGGACTTTCCAAACTAAGAATAGGAAGAAGGATGTGGCCATATCCTTCCAAAAATAATTGAAATCCATATGAATATCTACAAAATATTATCTGATACAGTGCCTGAAGATAAACCTCTTAGTTTGGCAGACAGTATTATAATGAGATATACAATGTCCTGGAATTAGAAAATCAGAAGAAAAGGACATGCTTAATATATCTCAAGCCTAAAGAACATAAAAA